GCTTGTATTTTCTCACTCCTAATTTTGCTTCATCGAAACAAAATAAAAGCAAGGATTTTCGCTTCTACTCCTGCTGTTGCGTGGAGAAAGAGGACGTTTTAATTTCAGCCCCTCTCCTCCTTCTCCACCCCCCATCGCAGAGAAGAGGAAAAAAGGCGACAGCCTTGAAAATTAAAGATCCGTTGGAAAACTTCTACTAATTTAATCACAAGCAGATCTCACTGAAGTTTACTGAAGGCGAAGGAATGTGATAAAAAAAGTTTTTTTTGAAAGCAATTTATTTTATTTAATGCAAATGCTCCAAACGCAAACTCCTGAAGTCGGATTAGATTTCCGGCTGAATTTTTGTAAAAATTTTTCGAAAGTGTTTTTTTCCATGTAACTCCTTGCGGATCCTGCAGTTCCTTAATGACCCCGCGGTAGACGCTGGAAATACATAGGATCGAAAGGCCTCCACTTTGGTCTTTGGGATCGTTCCGGTAGCTGTGTTAGTACGGGAGATTTTCACGTGGATTCTTTGCTGAATTTCGATGTCTGGCTCGAGCTATTTGCTGATGCCCGTTGATATGTGGCGCTTTTAAAATATTAATTCCAGAATGCACCAAGTTTTGGTCAAATAACTCATCGAAAAAACAAAATATAGGCATTATCGATGTGAGCGTTTCATCTCCTTGTAGAGCTCAATCAGTAACACCAGCAATGGAGGCATACCGGCCGCTTGAAGAGCGACGCACAGGTATTCGCAAACTGTCATCCGGGAAGAAGCAGCATTCCACGGATACATCTACGGATGAATTTTCGACACATAAACAAAGGTTTTGGCTTTTGATGATTTTATGCCAAAAATAACATTTACGGTATTCCTCGTTCGTTAATTCGTCATAATTCACTGGATAAATGCTTATCGCATACACATTTTCAGGTATGGCAGTAGGTCGAAGTCAATATCAGTAATCGAAGTAAACAAGCGCGAGCCTGAAGAGGTAAATCATTGATAGACTTAAGTGAATAACTGATATGCACGAGTTTATTGCTGGCATGCCTAGTGTGCAATAGATATACACTTGTGCGAACTTTTACTGGTAGTGTATTAGTGGCCACTTTCATTTCACTCAAACAACGTCATAATCGTTAGGTGGCTGCAAATTAACCTCGGGGAATAAAATTCTGTTTGAGAAAGAGAAAATACTTTAACAACCGTTTGCCGGAGAGAAATGAATTTATCCAGAAAAGCTTAAAAATTACTTTGGAGGTGTCAAAATTTTATTTTCGCTCCATTCACAAAACCTACATTTACCTCACGCTTAAAAGCCAGAGGCTTTGCTACATCAATCGAAGCAACAGTTCCAAATTGCGCTAGAAAACGGATGAAATTGTTGTCCAAAACAGCTAAATTGTGCAATTAATCAAAAATATGCTTCATAACATATAGCTATGTTTGTCCTGGATAGCCATCAAATGAATTTCTTCCTGCTTTAAAAAATGCATCGCGCCCGTAAACCAAAGCTTCGAAATACTGTTTTGCAGAATAACGAAATTAGTGAACGAATGGAAAGAGTTGTTTATTGGCCTCCGCTTCCTAAAAAGCAAGAAAGAGAACGAGCTCGATCTGTTCCACCGTCAGTGAAGGCGAGAAGCATCACAGATCCGGAACGACTGGATGAGTATCGCCGACAAAAGGAACTTGAACTGGAAGCTATGCGGCGTCATGAAGAGGAAGCGATGCTGTATAGAAAAAAACAGGTTGACGTTTCGTGAAACAACTTTGGCATATACTAGTTTCAAGCGTAAATTCTGGCAAAGGAAATCGTCGTGACCAAAGCGCCATCTTTTTGTCATCTTTTGGTCACTGCATGCTAACTTTTATGGATCCATTTTTCCCACACTTCTAGGAGGCATTTTTTCGCTGCACTAGAAGATTTAGAATTTTTAGCGGTTTTTACGCTTAAGTGAAAAATTATCATTCGCATTTTGACGAATACGTGAATGGGTAGATCAGCTTCGAGAAACAAAGTGCCACTGCGTTCAGCGTGCTGGAAATCCGTCGGTGCTCAATTGCTCAGTCAGG